TAGGGATTAGTGGAGGCTACTTGGCTCATTAGCATGTGAATAGTTCTGGGAGCTTCTTTCAGTGGCCAAACACCCTCCCTCCTTCATCACTCTCTCTCCCCCCTCTCTCCCTCTCTCTCTCTCTCTCTCTCTCTCTCTCTCTCTCTGCTGGACTCAAAAGCAGTTTCAGAGGCCCATCACTGCAGACTTCATCTTTGCAGGAAGAGGAGTTTACGATCAGACTCCTTGGTCCTGCTCTGCTCTAACCAGCCGAGGAGCTCGTGACTGAGAGGAGGTAGGGTTTAGTCTTTCTCTCTTCCGTCTCCGTGGACGTGTGTGGCCTACACTCTCAGTCCTCCGAGTGAACAATGAGGTCTCCCAGCGGACGGGGACACTTTGGCGGTCATGATGGGGGTTGGGGGAGTTGCGCTGGGCCTCAGCTGGGGTCTTACTCTGTTAGCCTGTAGCGTGGCTGAGGAGCGTAGCCCTCTAGAAGGTTCTGGTTTGTTTTAACTCCGTGTGAGTGAGACCTGAGCTCAGGCTGTCCATATTTGGTGGTGTGCAGGTTCATCATGTCAGTGATGAACGCCACAGGAGCAGGTGCAGCTGTTTTTTTCTCAGGGTCACAAGTGTTACTTCTGTTTCATCAGATTTACGGGCCCGGAATGAAAAAAACAAGGAATGTGACTTTTCTTTTTTTTCCTCGCTGTGAAAAGATGCAGATTCAAGATTTTTTTTTTTATTGTTGTTATTACGGAGTAGAAGGATTAAGTTGTTCACGATTTGTAGGAGATGGATGTGTTTATGTTTACATCATCACAGCTGTGAGTAAAGTCTTCATTTATTTAAAGCGAAATCGTTGACTTTTACTGCACTGAAGCAGAACCTGGTTTGATGCGATGATGTGGGTCAGCATGTGGGTCATGTGGACCGCGGGTCACGGGCCTTTCCTGGGCCATGAACCATGGTTTCATTTCTTATGACGGAAGAAGAAAAAAAATGGGGGCTGATATCAAAAGAAATGTAAAGGTCAAAGGTCAAACTAAACAGTACATTTTCCACAGCAACAACACCTGTGACACACGTACTGACGGTATCATGTTGTACAGAAAACTTATATATAAGTGTATGTCAGTCGGCCGCTGTAGATTTAATTTAATTAAACATGTTGTGTTTGTTTTTTTTAGCGGGTCTGTAATTCGATCTGATCCAGGAAACCCAGACAGAAAAGACTCTGATCTGTCAGAGTGTCTCAGGAACCAGGACAGATCCTCGTTCCTGATTCTGTCGGATTAGTTCAGTTCAGTTCACTGCTTAAACCCAGGAGTATTTATAGCTGATTAAATTATAGGAACTGACCGTCTGTACCTGTGTGATCTCACAGACCCCGTTACAAACTGTTGTCTCCTCCTTTTTTTCTCCTCCTACCTCAGAACCTTGTGGAGAGCTGGAGTCAGAGCTGCTCGCACCGATGGAGGAAGCGGAGGAGAAGGACAGGGGCATGATGGGAGTGGAGCGAGGAGGCGAGGTCCAGTGTGACGGTGACAGGCAGCCGGACAGCAAGAATGTCCAGAACTGCGTGTTGGGGAAAGAGGAGAACGGCGTGGACATCTGTCTGTCAGTGAAGGAGAAGGGGATGGAGGAAGAGGAGGAGGTGAAGAAGGAGCTGGAGGTGCAGATGGAGCTGGAGGTGCAGATGGAGCTGGAGGCAGACGCCTGTCAGCGGTTTCCTGCTCAGCAGGTTGGCTTCATCCGGGGAAACGACCTGTTTGGATACGTGGGCATCGAAGCCGTGCTGGACCAGATGAGACGCAAGACGATGAAGTCTGCGTTTGAGTTCAACATCATGGTGGTCGGTGAGTGACACAACAACAACAACGACAACAACAACAACAACAACGGAAACAGAAGAACGTCACAGCTTTTACATTTTTTGTTTGCGGTTTTTGAACAGTGAGCATGTACCTCCCTTCCTCCACTACAGGGGGTGCTAAACACTTTACATGAGTACCCCTAAGATGAAATATTAACTAGTCTAAACTCGAACCAGTAGGTGGCACTAATGCAACTTACAAGATTCAGACCGGCTGGTAAAGACCAGAGAAGAAGTCGTGGTGTTCGATGTTAGCAGCTTTAGCTAACAACAACTTGACCCAGTCCTGGTAAAGACTGACTCTTTAATAATAATAATAATTTGCAACCAATACAGGCTGCCACAGGAGGCGCTATTAGCAATATGTGGTTCCTCTGGGAATCGAACCCACGACTCTCTGCTCTCTGCTTGCAGGCCAGGCCATGCTAACTTCAACTTACTAGTAAGACTCTAACATGCTGCTAACAGTCACACTACGTACTAGCACAGTGCTAACTAGCGCAGTGCTAACAAACAGTGATGTTTCACTTTTCTTTTTTCTTTTTTTTTTTTTTGCTGAAGCTCCTGGTCTGAGATTTGAACCCAGACTGGAAACATCAGTGTTGTCAGTCACAGGAAGCTTCTCCCCCGAGGCCGCTGTGGTTGGTTGGTTGTGGTCTACACCTGTTTCTGACCTCCAACCACGTGTTTAACCTCAACAGCTCTTTGAAAGAGTCAATAGTTGTCAGGGATCTTTGGCAGAATTTTTTTTTCTTATACAACCAAATGAACACACACACATGTATGAACACACACGTCATGTGTCCCTCGTTCTTGGATGGAGACCCTTTAAAAGCCCCCCCCTGATCCCCGATCCCCGAGTTAAAAAAAAACAACAAAATGTTGTGTGTTGTGTGTGTGTGTCAGGATTCAGGAGTCGTGTTGAGTGAATTTATTTTTCGTTAAAACTGGAAGAGGAAGTGTGAATGTGTCGAAGGGAAGTTGAACACCTCTCCTCACAATGACACACTGACACACACACACACACACACAGATGAAACTATTATCTGTCGACAGCAGTGAAGTCACAGACGTGTCAGTCGTGCTGCCGTCCGTTTCTCGACACTCTTTAAAAAATGAGACTTCCTGACATTTACTGAAACGAAAATCCTCCGTTCTTCATGTCAACATTTGAATTTGAGACATGAATATTTTTGTAACCAATAAAATGTCTCGGTGGTCGGTGGCCATATTTAATGTCACCTTTAATCCCGCAGTACTCTTCAGACCCCTCGGTACTTTATGCTAACTTCCTGTCAGGTGAATGTTTTGCACTTTGTCATACATATCAAACCTTCCGTTGTAAAGTCACTTCCTGTCAAGCTGCACAGACCACAGACGTGTCTGTCCACCATCTAATACCCACACACTGATGTGGGTTTTTTGGGGGGGGGTCTTCAACTTGCTATATATGTATATATTCAACCTGTAGGTTTGGTCTGCAGGTCAGTCTGGTCTGGGGAAGTCCACTCTGGTCAACACTCTGTTCAAGTCCAAAGTCAGCCGCAAGTCCTGTCTGCCCAGCCACACGGAGGAGATCTCCAAGACGGTCAAACTGCACTCCATCAGCCACGGTGAGACACACACACACACACACACACAGGTCACCTGTGGATCTGTCTTCTCTCTCTCTCTCTCTCTCTGTCCCCCCATCTGGTGATGAGGATGTGAGAAGGTGAAGATCCAGATGTGAAGGTCAGAGTGAAACCTGGACCTTTCGACTCGTTCCGCTCCTGACTCTAACAGCAGACCTTTAACCCTGTACAGTCGGTCCAGAGTCCACTGGTCCACTGGTCCTGGTCCTGTGGTCCTGGACCAGGACGACCTGCTCCTCCTGTCGTTCTTCTTCTTTGACGGAACTGCTGTGATTTAGAACCTGAGCAGATGTGTGGTCCGACCTTCCCTGCAGCTCCACGTCCAGAGTGACACACTGACATCTGCGCTGTCTATAAATCCTGGGAAGTGCCCTTTAACAGCTCCGACCCTGCAGCTACCGTGGACCCCCCCCTCGCCCCCCTCCCCCCCTCTGGAGCTGCTCATGTTCCTCTCCGCCTCCTGTCCAACACAGACTGAGCCGTGACACCTGCCTCCAGGACACGCCTTGGATCTGCCTGACAGGGAGTGTGGGGGGGGGGAGGGGGGGTCAGGTGGAGGGGGGTCAGAGTTGTGTAAATCATGGAGCCTGTTCGCAGCAGTCAGTGTGTCCTAATAACAGGGTCTTGTCACATGACGAGTCACATGACGTCATGA